CATGTGTTCTGTGTACAATTTTTAAAAGTAACAAATCCCTATGTATCAAAATAGTTTTATTTTTCTTGCTTTGAATTATGTATCTGGCCTAAAGTGTTAGAATTACAAAAGAAGAACATGAGGGATGTGAATACATATAAAAGGGCAGAAGAAACAGTATCTTTCTCTTAGAAGTATGATCTAAAATAGTTTGAATACTCTTCTTTGAAACTGTACTCTGAAACATTGCCACCATTTCCCCTTATATATAGCTAGTTTGAATTAAAATGAACTCAGCAATACTGTAAGCTATTTTCTTTTCAAACAGGAATATTCAATGTAATATTTCATGGGAAGGCAGCATATCTATGAGTTTTTTTGCTTTTTATGATTCATTGTTTTATTCAAGAAACACTCAATTGTGTATAGTGGTAATGTCACTGCTTTGGGAAACTGGCCATTTGTACAATTGTATAATTGTAATTGTGTAATTGTAAAAAGTATTAAAACAGAACATATCAAAATGATTAGTTTTGTTTTTCTACTTTTGCATTATGTATTTGGCCTAAAGTGTTGGAATTGCAATAGGAAGACAAGATGGCTAAATACATATAAAAAGTGCCAGACATTTTATATTACATATCATGAAATGATATCTCTTTCTTGGACATATCTTCTGAAATAGTCTTGAGTCCCCTTAGTTTGAATCTACTCTATGAAATCTTTCGCCATCATTTTCCCTCGTGTTTAACTAGTTTGAATTAAAATGAACTCAGTTATATTGTGAGATTTTTTTTTCAAATAGAAATGTGTTCAACTCAATGCTTCATGAGAAGTCAGCATGGCTATTAGATTTTTCCATTATTCATTGTTTTATTCAAGAAATACCCAATTGTGTATAGTGGTAACGGTGCTGGTTTGGGTAGAAACTGGCCATTTGTGCAGATCTAATCAACTCTATCCGTGCTTGGTCTAAGAATGCGCCACAGGACAGAAATGCCTCTGCAGACTCCCTGGGAGCCCGGAGCCTCACCAGGGAGAGCTTTTTGCATGTAGGGGGAGGGGAAGTGCCAGGGTCTGGCCTTGAACTGAAACCCCAGGAATTCAGTGGTGTCATCACAATGAGAACGTCCTGTGTCAGGAGTGAACCCTCATCTACAGCATGACCACTGATGGGGCCTGAGCTGGACATCAGGTTGTGACTTCAACCTGAGAAGGGACTCCGCCCCTGAAACACTGGCTGTACCAGTTAAAGGCGCCAGTCCTCCCAGGAGGGCAAGGCCCCCCACATGTTGGCTCTTGGAGCAGAGACCAAGAGGAATGAATGATGTGACTTGAATGTGCCCTGAGGTCAGACTGTCAGAGTTGAAGCTGTGACCTCAGCAGTGGAGCCCTGCTTCCCTCTGGGACTGGACAGATGGAGTCCAGGGCATGGACCCCCATCCTGGGCCGACCGGGTGGAGAGGGGAAGGAGAGGGGGACACCTGCTCTTCACACTGACTTTGCTGAGCAGCCCCCTGCTCATTCACTCATCACACTGTCATCTGACTTACTGAACTCTAGTAAGCCTTGCTCAGGTTGACTCTGAAGTCATTTTGTCCCTTTAGGAGGACTTAGAATGAAAGAAAGTGAAGTCTCTCAGTTGTGTCCAGCTTTTTGTGACCCCATGGACTGTAGCCCACCAGGCCCCTTGGGACTTAGGTGACTCCATATACGACACTTAATTGCACAGGTGAACCCAGAGCCTCCTTACTACTGTCTCTGAGCAACAAATCAGATTGCTGTTGCCCACACCTGTGGTCTGTCCATGTCACTGGGTTCAGGGATGGGATTTTGTGTCACCCCGTCTACACTGGGAAAATGAGACCAAGAAGCAGCAGCCTCAGTAAGTCACAGATCATGGAGGAGCCCAGGTGGCTGGTGAAACATCAGGGACGATCTTACTGCTGCAGTGTTGGTCCTTTAATGGACCGGAACCTGCTGGTCCGGAGTCGGCAATAAGATAGTAAGAGAGAGAAAGAGGCTGATATCCCCTGGTTTACGCGGAAAGCCAATAGAGTCCTGTTCTCAGGGCTCGCGTTGCTGCACGTAGGCACCAGGCGCCCTCTCGAGTGGGTGAAGGCACAGTGCGCCTTCTCGAGAGGGCCTTAGGGGCCCGGGCAAGAAAGTGAGCTCAGCGGGCCTCTGTGCTCCAAGGAATTAGCCAGAAATAGAGAGATAGAGAGAGAGAGAAAGAAAGAAAGACACGGGGACCCAAGCTATGATGGAGCAAAGGTGTTTTAATCAACATGGCGTGTGCATATATACTGTCTTACAAGGTGGTTATTCTCAGCAAAGATAAAGATTAAAATTCCAGACTTACAAAACAGACGAGAGAGTTGCAAACAATCACATTTTATCTGTATGGCTCATAAAAAGGAAGAGGGTACTTATCACCATAATGAGAAACTAACAAAGGAAATGCCTGGATTCATCAGCTCCAGGAAAGGTGTGCCTCTCCTCTTAATTCCTGAATATTCAGGAATTAATAAGGGCCAAAGGTTTCCTGACAGACCCATAACAGCACACGGGAAGCCTCCTGTTAAATGCTTCCTGACACTGCAAGAAGTCCTGTCTGCTCCTTCCTCCAGAACAGGGTCCTGAGTGTGGATGGACACACCATTGTGGATGATGTTCAGCATCTGAACATCCTGGGGGTAAGATTCTCAGCTCACATAGGACGTATGTAGTGGCTTAGTCACTAAGTCATGTCCAACTCTTTTATGACCCCAGGGACTATAGCCTGCCAGGCTCTTCTGTCCATGGGATTCTCTAGGCAAGAACACTGGAGTGGGTTGCCATGTCTTTCTCCAGGGGATCGTCTCGACCCAGTGATCAAATCCAGATCTCCTACACTGCGGACAGATTCTTACATGGACATAGTGGAGGAAATGCATACAGAAATAATGGGGAACCTGAGTCACAGCCTGGAGTTAGTTTGCTAACAATCACATGCCTGTGCAGAGAACTCTTTTCTTCCATTAACTGTGACCTTTGAAAGTGAGCAAAGTTGGTTGTGGTTTAACTGTTCTCATTTCTTTATGACACCCCAGCTAGCTCTTGCACAGCCCCAACTGGTAGAGCCTGTTTGGCTTTAAACATTTTCCACAAATCAACCAAAATGTGGTTTTGAGCGAATGAGCAAAGAAGCCTGAGAAAACGATACCCCATCAGCTACACCAGCGCCCTCCTGCTGCCACTGCCACCTCCACTGCCCTCCCCATTCTGCACCTCCCAGGCCAGGGCAGCCCAGGGCAGCTGGGAAAGGAAGTTGCTGAGAAGTTGGAAACCACAGGAGACATGGTCCAGCAGGGCCCTAGCAGGGAAATCAGCTACCCAAAATTTTCAGAGGTATGGAGGTTTAGCCTCTTTTTAAAATGCTATTGCTTCCATTTTTAAAATTTAATTATTAGCTCATATAGAATATAGTCAATTCACAGTGTTGTGTTAATTTCAGGTGTACACCAAAGTAAGTCAGTTATATTAATACATACATTCATTCTTTTTCAAATCCTTTTCACTCTCCTCTTTCACTTTCATTGAGAGGCTCTTTAGTTAAAGAACTTCATCAAGAGGCACTCTGGGCTATACAGTAGGTCCTTGTTGATCATTTATTTCATATATAGTAGTTTGCATGTGTTAATTCTAAACTCCTAACTTACCCTCCCCCCATCTTTCCCCTTTCATAGCTATAGATTTGTTTTCTAAGTCTGTGAGTCTGTTTCTTTTTTTAATATAAGTTCATTTGTATCATTATTTTACATTCCACATATAAGTGATACCATACAATATTTGTCTTTCTCTGTCTGATTTACCTCACTTAGTATGATAATCTCTAAATCCATCCATGTTGTGATAGAACTACCATATGATTCTGGATCGGGAAGATCCCCTGGAAGAGGAAATGGCAACCTACTCCAGTATTCGTGCCTGGAAAATCCTGTGGACAGAGGAACATGTTGGGCTATGGTCCATGGTATCACAAAGATTTGGACATGACTGAGCAACCAAGCATGCCACACATGATCCAACAATCGCACTCATGGGCTTATATCTGGAGAAAACCATATTTGAGAAAACAAATGTACCCCGAAGTTCATTGCAGCGGTATGTACAATAGCCAAAGCTTCCCCTCTTGGCTTCTGTTGTTATTCTTGTTTAGTCACTAAGGTGTGTCTGACTTTTATCGACCCTATGGACTGTAGCCCAACAGGCTCCTCTGTCCATTGGCAGGTGGATTCTTTACTGCTGGTGGCTCACACGGTACTGAATCTGCTTGCAGGAGATGGAGGATCCATCCCTAAGTCAGGGAGATCCTCTGCAGAAGGAAATGGCAACTTGCACTAGTATTCTTGTCCGGGAAATCCCAAGGACAGAGGAGCCTGGCAAGCTACAGTTCATGGAGTCAAAAACAGTCAGACATGACTGAGCAATTAATCTATCTATCTTCTTTACCACTAAATGACCTGGGAAGCCCCTTGACTTTTTTACTTATTCCATTATTTCTCTCCAGTGAAGAAATATTTCCATATCTTTAAGATGAGAGTGACTTACATTGTTTAAAGAGGTCTGATCAAATTAATGGGAAGCAAGGAGCCAATCTAAACTGGATTTCCTCTATCTTATATATGGTTGATCTATTTTGCTTTCAAATGGGGAACTTCTGTTTAGTGTCCTAAGAACTTTTTTCACATCCACTGAAGCTAATTATAAACAAAGAAACAAACAAAAAAACCTCCTTGGTTTTAAATGAGACAGTGTTTTAATTCTAATACATTAAAATTTTTCCTTTTAAAGGATTTGTTAGAGAAAATAGAAAATATACACTCACTTATTTTTTTCTTCCTTTTACCATGAATTGAACTTCTTGTCTTATGTCTTTGTTTATAGAACTATACAGAAATACATTTAATAGTGTTCTGTTTGTTAGTATTATTAATCAATAGAAAAAAACGGTTGAAAGATATGAATAAATATTTCACCTTAAAAGAAGTTGTAAATCTACATACACAGAATAAGGCAGGATTTCCACCATGTTGATAATCAAGAGGGCAGCTATGGTGATACCAGAGAATATACATGAGGAGAAGACAGATGCACCCCCATGTGTCCTTAAGAAAATCCTCAGTGAATCCCTGGAGGAAGCCTTTAGTAAGGAAGCAGTGTGTTTTCTGTTTTGCTGTGGTTTGTTTGGTTTTTTTCCCAATAGAAAGTGAGTCAATGGAAAGCCACATGATACTTGGTAACAAAATATGGGCTCTGAGTTCAGAAAAACCTGAATGACTCTTACTTACAAAATAATGACCATGAACAGACAAATTATCTTCTCCAACCTATAAACAGATATGCAGATGATACTACCCTTATGGCAGAAAGTGAAGAAAAACTGAAGAGCCTCTTGATGAAAGAGGAGATGAAAAACTTGGCTTAAAGCTCAACATTCAGAAAACTAATATCATGGCATCCGGTCCCATCACTTCATGGCAAATAGATGGGAAGCAGTGGAAACAGTGGCCGACTTTATTTTCTTGGGCTCCAAAATCACTGCAGGTGGTGATTGCAGCCATGAAATTAAAAGACACTTACTCCTTGGAAGGAAAGTTATGACCAACCTAGATAGCATATTAAAAAGCAGAGACATTACTTTGCCAGCAAAGGTCCATCTGGTCAAGGCTATGGTTTTTCCAGTGGTCATGTATGGATGTGAGAGTTGGACTATAAAGAAAGCTGAGCGCAGAAGAATTGATGCTTTTGAACTGTGGCGTTGGAGAAGACTCTTGAGAGTCCCTTGGACTGCAAGGAGATCCAACCAGTCCATCCTAAAGGAGGTCAGTCCTGGGTGTTCATTGGAAGGACTGATGCTGAAGCTGAAACTCCAATACTTTGGCCACCTGATGTGAAGAGCTGACACATTTCAAAAGACCCTAATGCTGGGAAAGATTGAAGGCAGGAGGAGAAGGGGACGACAGAGGATGAGATGGTTGGATGGCATCACCAACTCAATGGACATTGGTTTGAGTAAAGTCCGGGAGCTGGTGATGGACAGAGAGGCCTGGCGTGCTGCGGTTCATGGGGTCGCAAAGAGTCGACATGGCTGAGCAACTGAACTGAACCGAACTGAACCTGTAAGCTGTGGACTCTAACTGTTCATTCTTCTGAGCGTTCTGAGATGATTAACAGGGTTCCTGACGAATGGTAGAAACTGAGTCCCTACTCCATCTCTATCTAATCTCTTTGTGGGAAGTAAGTTTTGAAATGAATATCAGTGCATTTGTGTGTGTATGGAATCTATGATTTCCGCAGTAGAGCTACCACCAGTAGATGCTAATGTTACTGAGAAGTTGCATGGATGAAGCATCATTAACTCATTTACTCATTTACCCTTTGGGGTCACAAAGACTTGGACATGACTGAGCGACTAAGCACAGCATGAGATTACCAGCTTCGATCCCACTTTACAGTAAACTGAGCACCAGGCACTGTGACTTCATCGCACAGATGAGGAAATGATGACACAGGGAGTCCACATCACTGCCTGAGGTCACACAGATGCTAATACAGACCCAGGGTTCAACCCCAGACCCTTGGGAGTCATAGTCTGTGTGCTTCACCCTCCACCGAATGACCTGGTGCTGGAGCAGTTCTCACGGAGTTAATGTCAGGATCAGGATTCAGTGCTTGTGAGACACTGGTACAATCTGAGCACAGATGCTGCAAGGCATGGTGGGTGTCACCCTGTCACCATCAGAACATCCCAAACCAAGGAGTCTGAATCTGCTGGCTTTGAAAGAGAAGGACCCTGGGCACCTTCGTTTGGCCGTGGCTCCCCTTGGAACCAGTGCCCCAAAGAAAGCACCATAGCCACCATTTCAGGGAAAGACTTAGAAATGTGGTATTGACCATTACTACAACCATGCAGAATTTGATAGCTCAGTTGTCATGATGTTTCTTACCTTGGTCAGAGTTCATGAGATTAAAGTACATACAGACAAATGTGTGGACTTTGGATTTATTTTTTGACTTATTGTGCCTCATATGAAAAAGAATGTACAGAGTTCAAGTAGCAAAGCTGGCTGCCCCAGGATGTGTAACAGGGAGGGTCAAGACCTTGGTCTTGGGGAAGATGCTGAGGCAGGAGATGGGGAGCTACCTGATTTGTGCGCCCTGGAGGCACAAGGACTCGGGGTGGAAGAAGCTGATGGGGTTGAATACAGTGGTGGGAGAGGCTCCCCTGGACCCACCCTGGGCCTTGCCCCCTGAGTAATAGCAGAATTCCTTGTTACAGAGTAGAACTGTCTGTTTGCGCAGTGTTTGAAAAACTGTTACACAATAATGACGTAATAGGGAAAAAACACATATGCACTGAGATAACCCAAATCCAAAAAGCAAGCAGAGAATTTCAGTAACAATAGATGATCAAGGAAAGCTGACTCCTTCGGGGACCCTCTGTCACAAGTTCTTCCCGTCACAGCAGACGCCTGTTCTCCGAAACACACAGGAGGTGGTGATGATAAAGTAGACTGCACTCTTGAGGAGGAGAAGGAGGTAGGTGTAATAGGCAGAGGTGTTCATGAGCTGCAGCTGCAGGGTATCTAGGAGAAATCATTTGATTAGTTACCTGTTCTTTTGAAAGGTCAGTACACAGTAATGGGAGGATGTCATAATTATTTCTGATGACCTACTGTGAAGTGATATCCCTGCACCACCAAACCCCAAAGAAAACAAGTATAAGCACCATGAGCACCACCACTCCCAGGACAATGCAGAATCCAGTTGGCAATTCAAGTCAATCAACAACCTCAGTTAAATTCACTAGAATCTTCCAAAATATTTTTTAAAAATACAATGTTGTGTTTTTAAAGAATGAGTCCAAAGGGAAAAATATTTGTGACAAATAGCATTTAGCACCTTTTTTGCCCCCTTCCCACATCTCTGAGTAATAATAACAGGTTATATTCATTAATGACTAATCAAATATCAAATACTTATTTTGAGAGTTTTGCATGCAAAATTCTACTCTTATTTAAGCTTTAATATAACCTATGAAATTACTGGGCTTCCCTGGTGGCTCAGGTGGTAAAGAATCCACCTGCAATGCAGGACACCTGGGTTCAGTCCCTGGGTTGGGAAGATCCCCTGGAGGAGGGCATGGCAACTCACTCCAGTATTCTTGCCTTGAGAATCCAAATGGAGAGAGGAACCTGGTGGACTACAGTCCATGGGGTCACAAAGAGTTGGAACATGATTGAATGACTAAGCACAGCAGAGCATGAGATTATTATTTTCAATCACATTTTACAAGAAACTGAGAACAGAGAAAAATAATTTGCCTGAGGTCACACGTTTAGAAAGTACCAGAAACCACATTTCAATCCCAGCAACATGACTTTGAAGAACATTCTTAGCTGCTCTCTAATCCTGCAACTCCATGTGCAATTGACACGCCAGACATCAAAGTTAAGCATAAATATCAAGTCGAATTGCTGATTTGGGAGGATCTGAGTCATTACATGTTGTGCATCAATGAGGTTCCTAAGAAGGATACAAGTCATGGAAATCTGGTTGTGATACAGTGTAGTGGGCAGAAGGTTTTGGTAAAGAGGACATTTTATCAAATGGAAGAAGGTCTTTAGTCCAAAATTCCTGAAACATTAGGAGCTCATGCCTCACTCACCTGTCTGTCTTGAATGTCTGCCATCATGGCTGTGATGTTATAGGATAATTGCACTTATTTGTCTTTGACGCTTTGCAAGAAATATATGCTGTCAAAAAAAACAATTAACAGCACTAATGATGGGCCTGACTTGGCTACTCAATTAATCTCAAGACTGAGTTTCTTCTTGTGGAAATTTCTCTTTCCCACACCTCATCTTCAGAGAGTCAGAACTCCAGAATCACTAGCATTTGGTATGGAAAGGATCTCAGGAGGTGACCTGCTCATAACTTACTCCCCTCGGTCAGGTCAGGTATTAGCTGAGTTCTGGGGCCCTGATACTTGGAATAGACGAGGGATCAGGAGGGCTAGAGCCAGAGATTCTAAATGCACTTGGAACGTTCATGTAGGGAGAAGGGGCCACCAAGTGGTACTGATTCTGTGCCAGCTAACTGGATACCCTATCCGAGACACTCCATATATGTGATCTTATATCTCCAGTAACTGGGCTCAGTCTATTATTGTTTCTAACTGGCATATGAGGGCAGCATTGCTCAGAAATGTAAGTGATTTACCCATTTTTCATGGAGCTAATAATAAAAGAACTGGGGACTGTGATATTCGGAAGTCCATGCACTTAACACCCCTGCCCATTGGTTCATCCTGTCTCAGGACCTTGGTTTTGGGATTCTTGTTCTATGTCTGCCTCTTAGAGGAGGAATAGAGAACTGAGTAAGTTGTGTGAACCTTGATTCAGATGGACTAAGTTGAATCCCCAGATCTAGCTGTGTGACTTTGTACAAAGGACTGAACTAATTTTGGCACATTGCCCTGATTGCAAAATGTCGGGAAAATATGGTACCACCTCATAGGAGTGGTTATGAGGAGCGAACAGAGTATATGTGAAAGATACAGCAATACACTTTGTGTATGTCAAGCTCTCTGTGTTAGTTCATGTATTAGGTGCAAACAAGGGCTAAAACTCAAATGTCTAGAAGTAACTTGATATCACATTTCTCTACTCACTAAAAACAAAAGCTACACAAGTGAGTGAAGCCCACTGTTGAAATAATTCAGAACCTATCACTGCATCCTCAAAACTCCAAAACCAACATTTACTGTGCTAAGATGACTCTTAGGGAATGATGGATTTACTTAAAATGTGATGCTATCCATTCTGCAATATCCAGACTTTCTGGCTTTCTATCTTAAACCAAAGAAGTTCAGAAGTTAAGTTTATTTAGAGGGGAAAAGGGCTGTAACAAGACACAAAGGCAAAACTTACTGCTTTCATCTTTCAGACACACTTTTGTAGAATTATGATCAGCAGTGACTTCTAGAAGAAAGGAGAGCAAGTATTAATCAATTGTATTGTCAATTGTTCATATCTATTATTAGACAGTGGCACATATGTGATTAAGTACATGTGTGGTAATATATATGTATATATAAGGTAAAATTTGCAAGCACAAATAGGAGAGATACTCTGATTAAATGTATGAACTCCACAATTCCAGGAATAATTGCTTTTTCCTACCATTAAGCAGGGAAGTTCAAGAGGTAATTTGATCAGGAGGGAAAAAAATACTGTAAGATTTCGTAAAGGCAAACATAGGCAAAAACTTACCACTTTCATCTTTCAGACAATCTTTTTTAGAACCAGTACCGGTAACTTCTAGAAACAATGGAAGCAAGTATTAATCGGTTGTCCTTGCCCATTATTTTACAATGTGTACATATGTATGTAAATGTATGTAAATATACACACACACATATTTGTGTGTCTGTGTATGTATAAATATATATATATGTATATAATCTGCTGACAGTGAGACAGTAGAGATAGTCATTAAAACTATGACAATGAGACCCACAGTTCCAGATAATTGGTCCTTTGTACTGTTAGCCAGAGAAGTGCAAAAGATAAATAGACTAGAAAGGAAATAAAAGACTAAAGCATGACATAAGGCAATCATCTATAAAACTTACCTCTTTCATGGTTTAAACAGTCACTGGGAGACTCAGTGGTAGGGACAATTGAGCTGACAACTACAAGAAATGAAAAAAAGTATTAGTCAATTATTTCTGCCCATTATTTGACATTGTGTGTGTTTATACATGTGTTATTGTAATATATATATATGTATATAGATAGATAATCTGCTGAGAGAGACAGTTATTAAAAAATATAAGCCCTACAGTTCCAAAACTAGTTGGTCTGATTCCATGTAATTCATAGATTTCATTCGCATATGGTTTTCTACACATGGAAATGTTGAAGTTCATGAAGGCTACATTTTACCATAACCGGAGGGTAATATCCAATAGCATCTTATTTTCCTTCTGTATTCTTAGCTCCTAGCACTGTGCTTACCACAAAGTAGGTGTTGGAGAAATACTTGTTGCAAAGACAAGTAATCGGGAAAAGTGGCTGCTCCACGACTTCAGCACCCACTGCCAAGATGAAGAATTGCTAGCAAATCAGTCATTCGAAGTTAGAGTCCTCAAGGGAATCCCACATTTGAAGGAGTTAGGCTAAGGCATATTTCCCATCAAGCAAAAGAAAGCAGCTGAAGCTTTCCAAAGCACACACATCCTCAGTATCCTTGGTTCATGGACATTATTTTTCTGTAGTTGTGGGGCTTATGGGCATAACCAAAGCAATATTAATAAGGTTAATAGCTGAGTGACTGTGGGCCAGGCACTCGCTTAACTCTTCACTGCATTATCTTCTTTAATCCCCCAGTGACACTGGAGTGATCTCTGTTTTGGAGCATTCCATGTTACAAAGAAGGAAATAAGAATTAGAGGGTAACTGGCAGAGAGTTGTATCTGATACCAGTGGTGGCAGAGACAGTGTTCGAAGGGTTGTTGGGGATTAAATGAGACAGAGCAAGTGGAGCATACTCTAAAAATAAGCCTTAGAAAGAGAAATTAACCTATGCAAAGACAACAGAATTCCACCATTGTGGACATTAAAAACATCTTCTCTTCTAGAGATCTTAATTATTCTTAACAATGACCTTTTTATTATAGGAGCTCAGCATTTCTTTCCAGGGGTAAAAAAAAAAAATAAATCAAATCACATTTTTAGTTATCTGCCTTGATAAAACTTGAAGTGAGAATTTTATTCATGAGTAATGTCAAACAAAAATACAACCATATTGATACAAAATTTTTTTAAAAGATCACGGATTGTTGGATGGAGGAAAACAGTCTCAGAAGTTGTTTGGTTTATCGCTTTTCTCCTGGATGGGTTCATGTCCACATGGATACAGTTTGATATGCCTTTTGTGCCCTCAACGAGATCTTTTTTTCACTATAATCTAAAACGTGGATTTGAGGTATAAATGCTTTGGAGTAAATCCCAAGAATGAAAATACAAGTAGAGTCATGTTTTGATGGTAAAGTATCCTCAAGACTGACTTTAATAAGCCCCTTTCTTTCCTTATAATGATTTTATTTATTAAAAGGTAAATAGGGGCTTCCCTTGTGGCTCAGTGGTAAAGGATCTGCCTGCCAGTGCAGGAAGCATAGGTTTGATCCCGGATCTGAGAGGATCCCACATACCATAGAGCAACTAAGGCCATGTGCCACAACTATTGAGCCTGCATTCAAGAGCCTGGGAGCTGCAACTACTGAAGCCCACAAGCCCTAGAGCCCATGCTCTGCAACAAGAGAAACCACTGCAATGAGAAGCCCATGCACCGCAACTAGAGAAAAGCCCATGCAGCAATGAAGACCCAGCACAGCAAAATACAAAATAATAAAATTAAAAATTATTAAAAATAAACAGATTTCTTATTACCATGCATTGATTGAGGTAGAAACAATAAAGAAACAAATTTTTGTAATAAATTTCATGTGTTTATATAAGTTCAATTTCTCAGTAAAGGCTGGTTGAAAACTAGGACCAGATTAATTGTATTTCTCTTCAAAATCATTTCATCAGTCTGTACTCTCCTGGTAAATTCTTAGCTTTTATCAAAAACAAAAAGCTTCTAAGAAACAACATTAGAAATTTGCTACAGAACGACATTAGCAGAAGTGCCCTCATTAGTTTTACTGCCATTAGAACCCCTTGCAAAACATTTGTTTCAGAAATTGTGTCAGGTAAAACACATTATAAACTGGAGCTTCTCTCCAATATGGTAATTGTCATAGGGACTCATTTTTTCCTGATAACAAGAAAAATTAAAACTTAGTAGGACAATCAGAGCTGTGGTTACATTAGACTAAACTGAGCAAATTTGCTTCCTCTCTATTTATAAGAGTAGAAATAACAATTTAGGGCTATTTTTGTATTCTTACTTTTAATTAATTTTAGGAAAGGATACAAATAGATTTGATGAATATGAGAATAAATACATTTCTGTCATGCTTTGGAACGTTTTCTCTGGTGCTATTCTATTTGCTCTTCATCACAGCCCCATGGCAAAGCCAAGGCAAGTGTTCAAACCTTATCTGATCATTGGACAAACTGAGGATCAGGGAAGAGACAGGCTTGCTTCAGAAATTCAGACTGGTGCCCAGTAAAAGTCTGTGTACATTTGATTAAGCACGTGGTTCCCACTGCTTAAAAAGGGCTTCCTAACCACAGGGAAAGGCACAGAAATGGTTCCTAATTAGGGACACTCTGGGGTGTTAGGTCTGCTAGGTGAATACTGCGGACTCTCAGTCCAGAATCCTATGAGTTACAGGACCACTGCCAGGGCCAACACACTTCCAGCCCTCTGCCCAACATCTGTATCAGAGGGTCTCCTTTGGGACACCTTGCCTGAATCACAAGTAACCCTGACTGATTAAGAAACACGTATATTCTCTTGACTGTAGTGCATACTTCTGGGAGAGTAATTCACCTGAGTGTGTTCATCCACACTCCCTCCAGGCCTGGCACGTGCTAGGGCTGCAATGAGAGTTTATGAGAAGCATTTTCCAATGTCAAGAAATGCATTCTTTATGTAGAATGAGAGTAAGTCTATATACTTTAGCCTCACTCCATCTCTAATTACAAAATTTTAGCTTATCTTAGGGTGGTATGGAAATTCCCTGATAGTTCAGTTGGTAAAGAATCTGCCTGAAAAGCAGGAGACCCTGGTTTGATTCCTGGGTTGGGAAGATCCGGTATAAAATACAAATTTCAAAAACCTAAAAACATAATAAAACCCCAGGAGTCTAATTATTCTACTTTTTGTTGAACTGCAATCTGCCTCCATCATACAAACACAGTTTTATCATTTAATAACTCATTGTTTTGTAAAGGTACCTTGAGTAAAGCAGGATTAAAATGACACTGACTTTATTTGCTGAGTAGAACATTCCAGAAAGATGCATACATGTTCTTATTTCCTGATCAGCCAAAGTCATCCACAGTGGAGATTTGTTATGTGCTAAGTTGCTGGATACTTTCACAGATGTTGTTTCCTTAAATCCATACAACAACTTTAAGAAACATCACTATGATCTTAATATTTTAGAAGATGAAACCAAATCTGAAAAGGTTAAGTAAAATTTTTTTCATATTTATGTATCAAAGCCTATCCCACTTTAATTCTATGGGGGAAATAGCAGAACATTTATGCTACCATTAAACAAAACATCATTTTATAAAGACATTTGTTTGTTTTTCATTAATGCTTAACAGAAAAAGTGGTGTATTTTATTTGAAAAACAATGTTCTGGAGGTTATATTTGTGTTTATTCACATACCTTCATTTATTGAAGGAAAAAGAATCTCTTGATTAATTCCTCCTATATTTCTCTCATGTTTGACGACACATATATGTTCTTTATCCATGGAGTTTTCAGCCACAGTCAGCCAGCTGAACTTCATGTATGTGTCAGTGGTCTTCATGGTATTTCCCTTCTGGGATGGCAGAGCTCTGTTGCCATCCTTTTCTTTCCAGTAAACCTCAATAATATCAGGGAAAAATTTCTCCAGAAGAGAAAGATATGTTCCAGTCTTACTGTGGTTGATTTCAGCAATTGAAGGAAGAAAAATAGTGGGCTTGGGTGAAATGTCTGTAGCAAGGTTTCTATCTGTGGGGGAAAATAAAATATAATTAAAAAGAATCTTTCTGGCTTACTTCGCTCTGTATAATGGGCTCCAGTTTCATCCATCTCATTAGAACTGATTCAAATGAATTCTTTTTAATGGCTGAGTAATATTCCATGGTGTATATGTACCACAGCTTCCTCATCCATTCATCTGCTGATGGGCATCTAGGTTGCTTCCATGTCCTGGCTATTATAAACAGTGCTGCGATGAACATTGGGGTACACGTGTCTCTTTCAGATCTGGTTTCCTCGGTGTGTATGCCCAGAAGTGGGATTGCTGGGTCATATGGCAGTTCTATTTCCAGCTTTTTAAGAAATCTCCACACTGTTTTCCATAGTGGCTGTACTAATTTGCAAAGATAAAGACCATTACAGTATACTAACACATATATATGGAATTTAGAAAGATGGTAACGATAACTCTATGTGCAAAACAGAAAAAGAGACTCCTATGTATAGAACAGACTTGTGGACTCTGGGAGAAGGCGAGGGTGGGATGTTTCAAGAGAACAGCATTGAAACACGTATATTATCTAGGGTGAAACAGTTCACCAGCCCAGGTTGGGTGCATGAGACAAGTGCTCGGGCCTGGTGCACTGGGAAGACCCAGAGGGATTGGGTGGAGAGGGAGGTGGGAGGGGGGACCGGGATGGGGAATACATGTAAAAAAAAAAAAAAAAAAAGATACACTATGGTTGTGATAAAAAAAATAATAATAAATAAATAAATAAATTTTAAAAAAAAAAAGAAAAAAAAAAAATAAATAAATAAAAAGAATCATTAGAGCAACACCAACATTTTGAGGTTTGGAAAAACCTAGCAAGTAATAATGCTTCCCAGGTAGCCCAGTGGAAAAGAATCCACTGCCAATGTGGAAGACACAAGAGATGTGGATTCAATCCCTGGGTTGGGACGATCCCCTGGAGAAGGAAATGGCAACCCACTCCAGTATTCTTGCCTGGAAAATTTCATGGACAGAGGAGCCTGGCAGGCTACAGTACATGGGGTAGCAAAGAGTCGGACACAAGTGAATGACTGAGGACAGCACAGCGAGTAGTAAAAGAAAGGCATCATTGGACCAGTGCTCACCATGGCCTCTCATCCACAATAGACTGTCAGATGCTTATTATTGCTCTTATCTTTGATGGAAAGAAAAGTTCAAAACTTCATGTAACTTGCCCAAAGTCACAGCTATTAAGTAGTAAAGCTAGATTATACCTTGTCCTTCATTTTTCTCCATTTGTAAAGATGGCGTATGACCTTCAAATACCCCATGTAAATACCACATATCAAGGCTTCCAAAATTCATGAATACATTTATTGTTTTGTCAGCTTATTTTATTGGTTTTTTGACCATACTATGCAGCATGCTGTATCTTAGTTCCTGCACCATGGATTGAACCTCTGCCTCCTACAGTAGAAGTGCAAAGTCCCAACTGCTGGACTGCCAGGGAAATCCCGATTTAAAAAAAAAATCTCTTTTGCTCCATCATAGTGGAGCCTCTTTTGCAGTGGCTGGGTGGGTTGTGGGAATGGGGATGGAGGAGGAGGCCAGGTAACTGATGGTTTCTCTGTCTGTGACAATCTTTGACGCCTTCTAAACTACTTCCCTTTCCCATCTGTCTTATGTTATAACTTATGTTCTCTTTGGTCAAATGACACATTCTCATGTTCTGAAACTCTGTGGAAACTCATTCTTCATTTAACTGATTCTGGGATGCACCATATTTATTTTATTCCCCACAAAAATAAACACCCAGAGAAGTTTATCATTTTTAAAAAGTGATATACAGTTGCTTTTTAAAACGGAGTCAGTGTCCACGGGTACGTGACAATGTATGAAATTAACTTTTCTCTCCGAATGTGGGTCCCATGCCCAATTCTGAAGTGCTGGGATTCTCTTTATTTTTAATTCTATATAACCTCTCAGTTTTACATCTGAACCACTCCGGATTTTTTAGTAGAGCAGTACATTATTTACAGTGCCTTGAATGTGGAAGCAAGATAGCTATATTTCTAAAACTTCCATTTAAAATGTATAATTAATCCCAAACCCCTAATTTGAGATTAATAGATAACACAATATTATATATAAAATAGATAAAACAATAAGGATCTACTGTATAGCACAGGGAACTATATCCAATATCTTGTAATAAACTTGCAATAATGGAAAAGAACCTGAAAAAGACTATACACACACAGACACACACATATATAACTGAATCACTTTGCTATACACCTGAAACTCACCCAATGTTGTAAATCAACTATACTTCCATTTTTTAAAAAGTATTATTTTCAGAAGAGCTTCCCCAGTGGCTCAGCGGTGAACAATTTGCCTGCAATACAGGAGACGCAAGAAAAGTAGGGGCGATTCCTGGATTGGGAAGATCCCCTGTAGGAGGAAACAGTAACCCACTCCAGTATTATTGCCTGGAGCATCCCATGGACATAGGAGCCTCGTGGACTACAGTCCATGGGTCGAAAAGAGTCAGACATGACTGAAGCAACTGAACACACATTATTTTCAGAAATGCTCTTACACTAAGCTTATCAAGTAATTTATTTATCAGAATTTTGTCTCAATTCAGAAAGTGTTCACCAAAAGCACATTTTATTTTGGAATTTCATCTAAAGTTTTGTCTTCAGTAATAATACATAATATTTTGACTCTCAGTGTCCCCTCTTAATTTGGACCACTCTATAAGGCTGCAGAACTCTTTTTCCACCTACTGAAGAGAGTGTATATCCCAACCAGGAATTGAACCTGTGCCCCCCTGCACTAGAAGGCGGAATCTTAACCATTGAACCACCAGAGAAGCCCCTCATTGGGAAATATCATAAGAAAAGAAAAACTGGACTTTCACATGAGAAGAAAAAAAAATTATTCAGAATTTCTGCCTGTGCAGCAAAGCTCCTGATTTTACTAAGTCAGTATACAGACAGTGTTTATTTTCACTCATGTTGTAAATATAGTTGGATCTTAATGTGCTTAATTTAACGTTATACATCTTCCTTTTAGAACAAGTAGTATTTTACTCATTATCATAGCAAGACACTGTGTATTTCTCGAACCACATACTATGTTGCTATTAACATGTTCTCTTTTTTCTTCTCATTTTTCTTTTATAAATTAGATAATTAGAACTATTTAATTTTTAAATATCAGTTTCAAATTCATGATATTTCCCTCTATATTTGACTTCACTTCTTGATCACTTTCTTTATAAATTAAAACTTTTTTCTGATAAATATGAGCCTGAAGCCCAAGCTTATTGACTATATATTTTAGAGCCAACAAATATTGTTGTTAAAAATGATACCAATTAAGCTAAAGGATTAAGATTTAAACCACATAGAACAACAAGACATATAAAAAAATACATTTTAATCTAATTTTTCTTGCCAAGTAGACAAGAACCTGCTAAAGAGAAGACAAATCCCCCCCAATTCAATTTTGTGTGTGTGTGAGTAGACAGTAAGATAACTTTTCATTTGAGAAGTCAGAAGTGCAGCTGCATTCTCTGAAGAATGTCAGTTCTGTCAATAGTTTTGCAAAAAAATCTCTCTCCTGGATGCTATTTTCATTTTATATTTGAATAAAAACCTATCCAGCACCTATGAGGTGTTAGCCAATGTGCTAAGTACTTTATTCACATTATCTCATTCAATTCTCCTACTATCCCTGCTGAATATATGCTGTTATCCTATTTTATGGATTAGGAGACTGAGGCCAGAGCATCACCCCCATGTTCACATAAGTAGTTAGTGGTGGGTCAGAAGCTCCAGGTCAGCCTGACTTGAAAGTCCATGTTTTTTGAAAATACACCTTCAGCATCAGAAAAGGAAACCTGTCAACTCACAAAACTTAGCTGTAATGACAAACTTCAGCCTTGGGCCAAATACTTTCATGACTATTACATATAATACATTATTGTTTAGCTTAGTTGCTAAGTCGCATCCGACTCTTGCGACTCCATGGAGAGTACCCTGCCAGGCTCCTCTGTCCGTGGGATTTTCCAGGCAAGGATGCCACATGGGCCCTTTACTGAAGTCCACATGGCTACAAAGCCAAATCCTATTACAATATTTGTGCAGTGTTGTCTACACGCTCCTTTACTATATGGACTTGTTGTAAAATCTCTCCTAAATCTAGTCCCCAACCACATACCCATTATTTTCGACTTTCATTCTCATTTAATTGTTCCTCACTTTCCCTCTATTGCCTTGGAAAAAAATTACATTCTCTGATACCTACCTGTGACGACAAGTTTTGTTCCAACATTGAAGTTTTTACGTAATTATTACACAGTGATTCAGGCTGTATCAAAAACTTTAGACTAATTTAGCTTCACTGATTCCTTCAAATTCTAGTGGAATTATGATGGCTTGGAATTCAAGACACCAGGATTCTAGTCCTAGTTCATTTTGCGCCTAACAAGTTCTGGGGTTGAACAAATCAAATAAGCTAAAGCCTTAGAAGCTTCATTTATTTGTAGAAGATGATATTACTGTTAAGTCAATTGAACATCCTTATCACTGCTGCAGTGAGATCAAAAGAAAACAAGAACTGAAGACTGATTTGAATAAAAATAATATGGAGATAAGATACTCCATAAAAAAGTTGCTATGTTATCATTAACATTATTATTAGCATTTTTATTTCTGATAATTGTGTAGTACAACATGACATTTTAGTAGCATAGGACCAAACTTTGCAAACCCTGATAAAAATTCAGTGTTTGGGGTTTGCAATTAGATTTGTAGCAACTAATGACTTGTTTGCTTTACTCTATGCTGTATATGTCTAGAGCTCTCAAAACCATCATCATAGCTTTTCACATACACAATTAATAGGCAATCATTTGTTTATTCTTATTTGTTGTATTTCCACGTTTAAGAAAGTCAAAGAGAACATTGGCTGAAGCAGTCAGTACATGGAACTTCTTCACTGATGTTGTCCAAAATAAATGGCATTT